ATAGATAGATAGATAGATAGATAGATAGATAGATAGATAGATAGATAGATAGATAGATAGTCTGAACATCTGGCTGACTATGTAATGATTAATAATAATGATAATAATTGGAACCACAAAATAAATAATGTCACACAAAATGAAGCAGCTAAAATGCTCTGGGACTTTAGAATTCAAACAGACAAGAATCTACCATATAACATCTCAAACTTAACAATTGTCCATAAGAAAAACAAAAAAGTCTCGATCATGGACTTGGCTGTATCTAGTGACAACAGAGCAGAAAAGAAAGAACTGGAGAAAATCACAAAAGACAAAGACCTGTAAATAGAAATAGAATGATTGGCAAAAGAAAGCAAAAATAGATCAGTAGTAATAGGCACCTTGGGTCCAACTGCAGCACCACTTGAACACTGTCGACATTGACAAAATTACCATTGTCAAGCCAACTTCATATGGAACAGATTAACAGTTTATCCATCTTAATAAATTAAAATAATAAAGTGTAAGTGATTAAAAGAATTTGCTTAAGCTTGTCTGTGTCCATGAAGGCTGCTTTTACAGCTAAGAGATGATGGAACCTGTGACTCCTAACTCATTGCAAGCTACAGCTACAAGAAATGACGATTTTGCCTGTTTGTTCACAGAAGTCAGCTATATGAAGTACAAGTCCAGAAAGTATTTTGGCAGCTTGGATCTCACATTAAGCTGCTTTTTCAGCAGAAATGATACCACAATCTACACTGACCAGATAAAATGCACATGTTAGCTTGCCTCGCTTCACTGGGGGCCTCCCGCCTTTCTGATATGAACCTTGTTGATTGCCCTTAAAAGTCATATATTTCATTTCTGGTCACACAGTTCTTCCTGGTGTGCCTTTTAACATTTGTTTGGCCCAGAAATGCACAATATTGTACAGAGTTATCTCCATAGATAGTCTCCATTTGGGAGTAAATTTTAATTGGAGGGACCTTGGCTTATTATAGAATTGGGGCCAGCTTCCCTATTGAATTTGCTTATGGAAAGCCAGCAGGAAAGTTTGAAGACCTCATTTGGTACCATCATTGCCTGCTGCTCCCTGCCACATGAAATTTTGAGGTAGGTAGGTACCCAAGATCCCAGATTATGATCATGTGACTGCAGGACTGCATGATTATGTGTCTGGTTCTATGCTACTTTGAAGACTGGTTCTATGTTCATTTTGTCAATGCCACCATGCATTGAAAAGACACTAAATGAATGGACAGAAGCCAATGAGTACTTGTACTAAAAATTCAGTCATGTCATTTTGTTTAAAGCACAATGATGAGCATGCAACCTTTTCTTATAGAACTTGCCACCAATTGAATTAAACAGGCAATACTGAAAAACACATCAGAGCTTCTAACATCTGTTGGTACCTTATAGATTGGAGCTGTTATTTTTCGTTCAACTCAACTTACAACCACAGTGGAATTTTCATTGTAAATCATCGCAAACATAAGTCAAGTCAAATTGTTAGGTGGATCCAGCTTTCCCGATGGGTTTTTGTTATTGTTTTTGCCCGAAATTGGCAAAAAAATCATGATGATCTGACTTCAGGATGCTGCAGCCAGTTGTAAATGTGAACTGGTTGTTAAGCACCCAAATTTCAATCACAGGACAGCAGGAGTAGTGTGATCGCTATAAGTATATGTATATCAGGGCTGTCAAAGTCAAGGCCCGCAGGCCAGATCCGGCCTGCTGGGTGCTTAGATCTGGCTTGCGGGGCCGGCCTGGAAATAGCAAAGGACTGTGGTGCCTCTTCCAGTGAAAACAGAGCAAAGGGGAAGCATGTGCAGCCCACCAGGCCCCTCTTTCACTTTCCACACCCACCATGCTCACGTCGCCTCTGGACCTTCGAGGTCAACCACAACGATGGCCCTCAATGAAATTGAGTTTGACACCCTGTTGTACATGTTGTTTAAGTCATGTTTTCCAAGGCCACTGTAACTTTGATCTGCTGTGCCTACCTGTAAATTGTATGGAACGAAACAAGTAAATCCAAAGGGCTGATGGTTAAAAACTCATAAACCAGCTCAATTTTTTTATTGTCGGTTCTCACATACTCATTTTGCCTCTCTTATGAAAACAAAAAACAAAAACATATAATGCTTTGATAATTTGATCCAGACATTTTGCCAATCTGCAATCTTCCTTCAGTTCCAGACTTTTAAAGCTGATGCAAATCTCTTGTGTCCTAGCCCTCGAACCTTCATTTACTGTTTCAAAACTAGCTCTCTCTATTTGCAATTATGTTTGATCCCAAATGCAAGGGGGGATATGGAAAATAGCTTCATCTTAGTATGCAACTATATGAAACAGGAACTTGGCAAGGATATCTGTAGATTCAAGCAATGCAGCAATTCTGGTATGAAATATGATTTCAGATATACATTAAATATACCTGAAATGCACCATGGTTGAATAGATAAGCTATACTATAGTAATAAAAAAGGAGGAGAATTTAACACAAGAAGATAAAAAAACATTATCAATAGAGAGAGAGATAAAAGAGTTCTACTGCATATCCTATATGAGGTGAGAATTTTGGTCATAAATATATAAAAGTTCATCACAAACAAAATCCATTGTTTGTGTTATACATCTTCCCTTGGAAATTCCTATGGATGCAAACACTAACATGAAATCACAATCAGATTACAGATGGACAACTTCTATGTCACAGATCAGAATGTGGTCAAGAGTTTAACAAATAAAAAGAGATCCTTGGATTATGTGGGTCCATTTTTTCATAACTATAAAGTTTGGGGGTTGTTATGTTAATGCTAATAAGAGTCTTCCAGAACCTCAGACTTCACATTCTCTTTCTGAGTTTTCTTTTCACATTTTTTGCTGAACTACTGTAGGACCAAAGATCAACAATTTTGTCACAATTTGGCATATGAACTATGGTTCATTTTGGGGCTCCCGAATGCCAGAGACCTCAATTGGCTGCACACAGAGAAATCTCTTCCACAGAAAAGAACCCTGGACTCATATGACCACCAAGATATTTTAAAGGATCATGTACTAGCATCCATAATGTATATCTAATCTGAATTCTTAAATGGTCCAGTTTCTACTGACCTTTTTTCTAATGACTTACATAATTAAAAAGGTACAATGGGAAAAAACTTCCAAAAAACTTCAGTGGGGAAGAGCTAACTTGATCTTCTCATCTCTAATTAATAAAAATTGCATTAAAAAAACACAAAATCCAGCCTTCCTAAGACTCTGCAGTATAATTAAAGAATTAAAACAGGAGATAGGGTGTGTGTGTGTGTGTGTGTGTGTGTGTGTGTGTGTGAGAGAGAGAGAGAGAGAGAGAGAGAGAGAGAGATTGATTGTGATTTTTAATAGCAGGCATACACAACTTAAGAGCCAACAGTGTCCAATTTTACCTTCCAGGTAATGCAGCCACTCATTTATCATTCCCAATTGACATTTATTTAATCTTGGTGGGTTTTCAAAATTTCCTGGCTGCCAATGTTTAAAATTGTCTAGCAGGCTGCAAATCTTATAGTCCTCTATAGGTTTGTATTACCTGTTCTGCACCATGCTCATTGCTATCCAGTCCAAGGGGTAAACGTTTTTTCCAATCAGATCTTTAAACATTATGAAAGTTTCCATCAAAAAGTCCTAGTGGGGAAAATATGGATATATATCTTTTATATTTAAATATCATGCATTCTTCAATATAGAAAAGAAATCTTGTTCTCATCTTCAATGTAACTGGTATATATTGCTGACCCAATTATACAAAATGCCTAGTAATGACTTCAGCAATTGAGCAACAATTAGAAATTAGAATAGAAAAAATAAAATAAAATCAGTGCTAGCATTTTATAACAGTCTACCTCACCCCATTTTTGCATGAAATTGCACGGACATGACAAAGCAACAAATGTACTGAACTTGAAAATTACCTTGTTGAAAAACAAATAAACTAATATTGACTCAAAATATTAGTTCATCCACATGATTTCTACTTTCGTTTTTAAGACCGAAACTTCAAAGGCAATCCTGTTATATAAACTAATATTCATTACTATATACACCAAAAAGACAACAGTCCTTTTTGTGATGAACGTGCTTGAGCCTGTTTCCCATGACCACTTACCACTAATTCTGAGCTCGTCTGAAAAGTTTCAATGTATGAGGAATAGTGCTGATCATTCATTTGGTCCAGGATTGCTGTCATGCAGGCCACAAAATGACTCTACAAAAGAAACAGATTAACCATGATGAAATGTATATTTACATCCAAATTTTAGGAGACAAAATAACACATTTATGTTATGCCCTAGTACCAACATCAACATCAACAAATATTTAACATTTCATATTCTTTAATTCAGGTTGTGTATAAGTTTTGTAAAATATTATCTTTTTAATATTGTAACCACCCAATTATTCCATGGTAAAATGGGTAGACAATAAATTTAGTAAACAAATAAGTAAAGTAAAATAAATAAAATCAAATAATAAAATAAAATAAACAAAGCCAAATACCTGATGGAAGAAAAATAATATTTCTGCTTATACTCTGTGAGCTGCAATTTTCAAAATTTACATTTCTCAAAATAAGTAGACTTGGACGTAAAAATGGGCAATGTTTTGCTACACAGATACAATGTCACAATCTGGTACATAGAAGTGTAACATTTTTTTAAAAAAAAAAGTTAAAAATACAATACATTTTCAAGAAATTTTGTAGAATTGTTCAAAAAACAAATAAATCCTGTGTTGAGAATGTTCAAATAATCATAAAAACATCAAGTCTATATTTTATTAAAAGGAGAGGAATTCTATTTGTGAAATCCTAATGTTGATTTCACTGGCCAAACAAAGCTGTATAAAAAAGATTGGAGAAAGCAAAGTGATTAAAAACCATCTTAAAATTAGCCAGGCTGTAACAGTGATAAAAATGTTCACCCTTTCAAAAAGTGGACTCAGTATTAGAACAAAAGAAAAAAAAAACTTCCTTTAGAAGATTCATACATTTCTTACACATACACTTTTTTTACCAGATATCTTAATAATTTCCCCCAAAACATGACTTGTATTTGTAATATGGCCAGTGTGAGCTGTCAATTACATCCATTTGAATGTCCTCTGCCTGAGATGTTTGAAGTTCTTTTAACTGCAGCCCTAAGAAAATTTAACTCACAAGCTGACAAATGTATTCTTACTTTTCTAATTTATGGAATTATATCTGTCCTTAAAGCATCACGCTCTAATGAATGGTAGTAGATTAAATTTTCCTACGCTGAAATTGGCTGGCATTTAATGCTAAGTCAAGTGCCTTTCCGAAAGAATTTTTTTAAAAAAAATAGCTTTTCAAAAATTCAAAAAAAACATCAAAACAACCACATCATATATGCATGTCCACTACATGCAAGAAAATTGAAGTTAGAGATATCTGTCCATTAGACTGGCTTCATATTCAGAACGATTGCTCATTCTAATTGAAAATTGATATGTTAAACTAACTTGAGAAATCTGACCTCTCCTTCCTTAAATGTACATTTTGGACTTTTTAAAATTATTTAAAAAGAAATACAAGGTTGCTCATAAGTGTGTACATTGTACTTTAATATATCCAACCATTTTGTCTACTATAGTATTTAAAGCTTGAAATGAAGCTTCTTTAACTTCAGGTTGTAGCCACTAGAGGTCTTTTTTACTTTCATATGGTAGCTTCTATTCAGTTGGTGCTGCTTTTTTGTTTATTCCTACGTGAGCAGACCAGTATAGTTCTGGCATATAAACTGTGCAAATTATTACATAAATGATAACTTATTTCAGCTTTTGGAGTTACCTTTTCACTACTCAAAGCTTTGGTTATCTGTGAGGGTCTAAAAGAAGAGATTTGCAGCAGGTAATCCCAGATCTTTCAGGTAAGGCTTTCTGTAGCTTTTGTTACTAATGCTCTTCTCTTTAAGAAAAAAAGCTTATGTTTTACTTTTAAGAGGCATGCATTATATTTTACTTTTAAGGAACAGGCATTTCTGGATGGTATGGAGATGTTAGTATGTCAACTGCTTGCCAAACTAGAGTTAAAAATTGTAATTGTTTGAAGATCAGCTTTGCTATACAAATGCACTGATTGCCTCTATAAACAAAAAAGGAACTCTCATAAGTATAAACAGCAGAATCTTATACATTTAAGATTGCTCTTTTTATTTGATTTTTGAGCTGTTTGATCATGTTTGAAAGCTTTTCAAAATGTTCCTGCTTATCCTTCCTAAAATGATTTCTATTAATCCCTTGTGGCTTAAGCAGCATCTTTAGAAAGATACTGTTCAGCAAAATCAAAACTATTTTTATAATGAAAATCTCTCTGAAAAAAAAAAGGAAATTCTCAAAATCTGGCTATCTATGTACTGCAGCATTGTAAATGCACTGTTGTCCATCGTGTGTGCAGATTTACTAACTGCAAATGGGAACAGTGTGAACTAACAGATGATATGCTTTGTTTTATTAAAACAATTCAGCTGGCAATAGAGTTAAAATTATGGTTCTGCTATCCAGCTTTGGTGACTGGGTGCTCAAAATATAAATTAGTACATTGTCTTGCTGAAACATTTTATCATACCAATGCCATTCAGTAACTTCACTTTATAAGCAAATGACCCTTAATATTGCCATTAGCTGTCTTGTACTTAGTTCTGTAATCTACATCTCATTTTCATCCAATCAAGCTACATGACTGATATACAATTCAACTAGCACATTAAGAAATGGATGAAAGTGAGTAAGAGTAGTAGACTCAAGGTGTGTGTGAGCATCCAGCTAATCTTTAAAGCAACTCCCAATTTTTTAAAAATTATTTTTCAAGTTTTGATTTGATGTCTAAAATCTAGGATGAAGACACTTTTCCCAAATAGCCACTCACAGACTGTAATATGCACTCCGGTACACGTATAACATAAGAATGAGAACTTTGATGCCAGTTCCAAAATACCTAGCAGTTAAGGAAATATAGTAGTTTAAGCAGAATTTTGACATAGCAGTTCAGCTAGGCTTACTTCTTGAAGGCTGTATCACCATACAGATAGGTATGATTGAAACTAGGTCAAACATGTGTAAAAATAAGCATAACCATATGAAACATTAGACTGGTGCGGGAAATGTTTAATAGAATGTTAAGGAAGGAAGTATGAATCTATTGTCAATAGATGCAATCAATAATATACCCTAACCCTCTTATCATTGGACAGAGATAATAAATTGAAATATACTCTTACCTAAATTGGCTATTTAAAAATATGGGATATTGCCAGATTTTTGGGGGAGGGGAGAGAAGGTCAGGTGGGATGACAAAGTAGACATTACTGAATTTATCTGTCAGCAGCACACAAAAGTCAAAACAGCATGTCAAAGACAAATGAGATACTCTTTCAGTGACAAATGAGATACTCTTTCTTTGACAGCAAAGAAAGTATGATGGGATGATTGATTAGTCTTTAAAAAAAATAGTCATATTGTGCCAAGTAGCCTTACATTCCTACATTATGAAGCGTTAGCTAAAAAATAACATACTTTAGAATTTTAAAATATAAGATATAGGAAGTAAGGAGTTATCCATATCAAAGAATAACATGGGTTGATTATATACAGACTTGAGTAAAATTACAATTCCTTGGAATTTAATATGCGGTTCTAATATGTGGGAGAAGAAGAATAACAGTTTACAAAAAGAAATGGCAAACTTCAGTACCTAGCAACCAAAATCTCATCATACTTTATAACACCAGATGGTGACAGGTTGCCGTAGTAACTTCAAATAACAGCCACCAGCCACATAAATAAAGAAAAAACCCTAATAGAAAGAGGGAAAGAGTACAGGATGTGGATAGTGAAGCCATTTATTAACATTTATCTGATACTACTTTATCCTTTGATACTCTTAGACAATTGGGCACTCAAAATACAATGGATATCTTCTGCTTCTTCCCACTACACACACTACCTTATTAGCAGAAAGGGAGCAAACGGTGTTCTACTTTCCCAGTAGGGGGCTAGATTTACAAAGATAGTTCTCAAAATGTAAATCCAACTTCAGACAACTGTGAATATAGAGCCAATCTCAGATATTCAATAGCTATCTTTCTTCAGATTCATACCTGTATTCAAGTAATAGGCAGAATTAACCTCTTGTTAGGATGTATAAGATACATTGAATCATAAGTACCAACCAACATGGTAAACAAAGAAAAAGAACTGCTAATTGCTTACTTAAGGTTAATGTAACTAAATTTAGAAGATTGTGTAAAATCAGCTTTTTTCAGTTGACCTGTTTAAGGGTATTGTGCAAGATCAGCCCTTCAGACAGAGAATGTCTCTGCACATATAGAAAGTACTTATGAAAATTATCAAAACAACTTTCTACAACAATCGTGAGGGTAGAAGGGAGAGAAAAAATTGTTCTATTAGTGAATGACAAAACTGTGAATGTTAATGAACAAGTCTAGAATATTGATGATTTAAGTAGTAACATACAATATGTAAAAACATCCCTAATAGAAATTAAATTGTCCTTAGAAAGAGGTGTGTAAATATTATGTATTAGCAATAAATAATGATTAAAAAAGAAGAAAAGAGGATTAAAAATAAAAGATAAAAAAGAGGGAAATTGTTTTGAATTGTTATTTTAAATTTGTTTTTAAGCAGCTGTTTTATTGTATGCTGCTCAGAATCGTGTTTGTGAGATATGTGGCTATGTAAATTTGATCTATAATATAAAATAAAAATAACATAGTTAAGGTACTGGATTACAAATCAAGAGATCATGAGTTCGAATTTTCCTTTAGGTGTGGAACACTCACAAACTCTCTCAGACTCTCCCCGCCCCCCGACTTCACAGGGTTGTTTCAGTGGAGAAATATGAAGAGTGAGCAGTATGTGCAGTGGCTTGAGTAGTACGCATGTATTAGCTAATATAAAAGTAAATCTACAAATAGACCCAGATAATGGCACTCTTTTTTTAAGTGTTCTTTGAAGAACTTGGTTTTCAATGACTTCCAGAAAGAAATTAGCAAAGATAGATATTCAATCTCCAATATATGCTATTTCAGACAACCAAAGAAAGGGCAGAATTACCATTTCTCAACCCCCTTCACCACATAGAACTAAGAAACAAAGCATCTCCCTGGATGATCCAGTCAGAAAAATAAATTCCAGTTGAGTAAGTGTTCCCAAACATGCTATCTAAAC